CTTTTCTGTGAAGTTTTCTTCAGCTACTTTTTCACTTGAAAAATTATTCATTCTCTTCTTCACTATGGCACCTTTTCAAATGTTTTACAGTTTTAATCCTCACCCAAGAACATGCTTAGAGAGAGGAAGGGAGGGAGGGAGGGAGGAAGAGAAAAAGACAGAGAGAGAAAGAGACACAGAGAGTGAGAGCGAGCAAGAAATCAGCAAGTTGCCTTCAGCATTCGCCCTGACGGGCTCAAACCTGAAAACCAGGCTTGTGCCCTGACCTGGAATGGAACCAGCAACCCTTCAGTGCAGGGGACGATTCTCAACAAAGGAGACACTCTGGCTGGGCTATGCCACCATGTATATATTGATTATATATATATATATATATTGATTTCAGAGAGGAAGGGAGAGGGAGAGAGAGATTGAAAGGCCAATGATGAGAGAGAATCATTGATTGGCTGCCTCCTGCACGCCCCCCTCTGGGATCAAGCCTGCAACCTGGGCATGTGCCCTGACGGAGTCAACCGTGACCTCCTGGTTCCTAGGTCGACTCTCAACCACTGAGCCACACCAGCTGGGCTATGCCATCTTTTTATGCCTCTGTTTTGTGGTGCTTGTCACGATCTGACTGGCTTTTTTGTTACTTACGTGTTCCCTGGAAGGGCAGGGGTGTTTGTATGGAAGCTCAGGGCAGGTGCTGTGACCCGGCCAGCACAGTCTCCTCAGCAGGCAGCTAAGAGCCCTGCCCTCCTGCAAGGCAGAGGAAATGTGTTTGGTACCAACTCGTGGACTTAGAAGGATTAACAACAGATTTTGGATTATAGCTTCTCCACCCTGTGCTTTGTTTTATCAAGTAGGCTGTTAAATATGATATGATTTTGAGCTGAGCTGAGCCGAGTTAAAACCAGTGAGCAATTATATTGTATTCTGTCCTCATAAACATGTAAAAGATTTTGCTGGGTATGTGGTGTGTTTCTTTTCATGTCGTTAACGTTGACTCTGATGATTGACTTTGGATACTTCGTAGACACCAGTTTCATGACTCAAACGAATTGCATCAAAAACACAAAGCTCTGATCTTTCCAGATACTGTTTTCTTGCCTGCCAAAACCCAGACATAAATGGGGAGGGGGAAGGCATTATGTTCACAATTTAGGGAACTAACACTTCCATATGAGTATAATCTGTTAATATGATTTTTAGTTGGATTATAGTTTTTTTATTTTCATGATTTCATTCAGCAACCATTAATTGAGTAATGAGCATGTTCCAGACATTGTGCTGGGGCCAGTGGAGCCTGCAGTCTCGTGGGGAGGACACACAATAACAGTTGTGTGGGCACTGCAGCACAGAGGAAGGAGTGATTAAATGACAAAGGAGTGGTTCAATGACTCAGCTGAGTACTGCAGGTGAATAGGAACCGACCAGGTTGATTGTGGGGGTAGAGGCGGGAGCAGGAGAGAGAGTAGGGACTGGGAGACAGACCTGACAATGAGTACCAAGAGCAGGGAGGTAGGAAGTGACCTGGCTTCAGTACTTAGCTATCAGTTCTTTTTTAAAAATTTTTTTATAAAGCATATATTTATTGATTTCAGAGAGGAAGGGAGAGGGAGAGAGAGAAACATCAATGATGAGAGAAATCATGGATCAGCTGCTTCCTGCATGCCCCCCATTGGGGATCGAGCCTGTAACCCAGGCATGTGCCTTTGACCAGGTATCCAACTGTGACCTCCTGGTTCATAGGTCGATGCTCAACCATGGAGCCACACTGGCTGGGCTATCAGTTTTATTTTCAATAGGATATATATATATATATATATATATATATATATATATATATATGTGTGTATATGTATATATGTATATATGTATATATGTATATATGTATTGGGTGTCCCAAAATTCACACAAGATTTGAATTTTGCGTGAGCATTAACAACAACAACAAAAATAAAAGCCTAATTTTACTTGGTTTATTGAATCAGATTCTAATATCTGTTGCCCTTTGATTTCAATCCCTTCAATTTGATAAGCATTACCAAGTACCAATTATGGCCCAGGAGCAGGGACAATGAAGACCAATGCGTATGTGCCAGCAAAGCCGTGGAGGCCATTTACCTGATGTGCTATTCCATACATAACCCTATACTGTATACTTTATGAATCAATAAAAAATTTACAATTTTTAATTATAAACCTGTGTTTTCTATCAAAATTACTTCTTGCGTGAATTTTGGGACACCATCTATCTATCTATCTATCTATCTATGCACATGGTATAAAACTAAAATGGCTCAACAATGCAAATTAAGTCCTGTCTTTCCTCTGACCCCCAGCCATGAAAGTCCTCTCCCTAGAGACAGCCACTGTTGCACTTTCTTGGGTAAATCTTTCCACAAAGTTTTGCTGCATTTATAAACCTGAGATCGATTTTCTTTGTTCCCCAGGCAAAAGGTAAATGCTATACAACTTGTTCTGCACCTTGCTTTTCCCCCCACTTCATGTACTGGAAGTAGTGTTGCTGCATTCTTTTTAATATAATGGCTACAGACTCTGTTATGTGAGGGGACCACAATTTATTGAGCCAGTACTCTTTGGAAGGGACATTTAGGCCTTTTATAATAATGTGTTGTTATCCATCCCATGAAGTACATGGGAATAAGTCAGCTACAGCCACAGAGAGTGGAGCTGAGGGTTGTAAATATATTCAACTCTTACTTCAGGTTCTGTTAACAAACAAAAAGCCAGGCATATTAGGGAAAGAGCCCAATATAATTTCAAGAAATTAATCATTGAAATTACAAACTCAACCAGTAGGGTAAAGTATTGAAGAGAGAATTGGTGAACCAAAGGATGAATCTGAAGTAATTGTTCGGGAAGTTGGGATAGAGAAGCAGAAGGAGAAGATATCTATATGTTGAAGTGCATCGCAGTGCTGAGACCACATGAACCAAAGCCACGTGTCAATATGGATGATGCTCACAAGCATATTGTGGAGTGAAGAAAAGCAAGTTACAGACTAATTCAGACCATGTGTAATTCATACCCACAAATCAAAACAGTATTGATTTTTTTTTAAATTGAGAAAGTCTTGAATTTTTGCAGCTTTGGAATTCACTATCTTCTTTTTTAAAAATTTACCTTTATTGTTGAAAGTATTACAGGTGCCCCCTTTTTCCCCATTGCCCTCTCCCTCCCACTCCCACAACCCCCCTCAGGCCTTCACCACCCTATTGTCTGTGTCCATGGGTTATGCATATATGCATACAAATTCTTTCGTTAATCTCTTTGCTCCCATGCATTTATCCCTGCCTTTCCTCTGAGATTCATCAGGCTGTTCCATGTTTCTATGTCTCTGGATCTATTTTGTTCGTCAGTTTATTTTGTTCATTACATTCCACATATGAGTGGGATCACATGATTCTTGTCTTTCTCTGACTGACTTATTTCGCTTAGCATAATACTCTCCAGATCCCTCCAAGCTGTCTCAAAGGGTAAGAGAACCTTCTTTTTTATAGCTGCATAGTATTCCATTGTGTAGATGTACCACAGCTTTTTAAATCCATGCATTATGGGGTTTTTATTGTTTTTCTCTAATGACAACTCTTTTTGGTATTGACCAACATGTTGATTAAAAAGTCTGGTGTATTTTATATTCCTTTAAAGGTTTTAAAATTATTTCATGATAAGTTGATATTATTAAGAACCTGATTTTTAATATGAATACAATTTTACAACTTTTTTCACAAAAGGCAGCAAACTGCAAGTATCTATTAATACAAGTCAATAATGATGATGATGATGATGATGTAATACTGAGACAGAGTTTGGCTTAAAGAACTCTAAGGTTTTCCTAGATTTTGTATATTGTTTATTCAACAATGCCTTGTGAATTCTCATATATCTTGGTGATAAGAGACAATATAAACATATGCATAGAATATGCAAACATCGCTTACCTTTTTCTCATGTAACTTTCTCCTTCAATGGCAAAATGGCATAGGGGAACATTTTACCATTCTATCTTTTTATTATTGCTAGCAAAGAACTGAATATAGAGAGATATCTGAATTTTTCCTCCTAAGAGAGAAATGTAGAAAGTAGTGGTTATTTGTGGTGTGTGGGTTTTTTTTCACATTTCACTCACTTTTCCTTGGGCATGTGTGACTCATGTCCAAGATCAGGGGAACAACATTCCTTTCTCACTCATGGAATTGAATGCTTATATGCGACTTTATTGGGGGGGGGGGATTCCTAATGGAAAAACCTTACTAAGGAGAAATGAGCTTTAAAGACTTGCAGGTCATTATGTTATCCATATCATAGCCACAGGCCCTGGAAGTTGACTGCACAGTCCCTGGATCATAACTGCAAAAATGTGCACTGTGGTGTTTAGCTTCCCAAGGGATGTAATTACTTTTTCCGTGATACCTAGTCCTTGAAATGACCTAAACAAAACATTTCTTTTTATCTTCTTCCTCTGGTATGTGGCAAAGCATATTGCATTTGTTACAACTAGAAATTCCTACAGTGCAGCCCGGTCCTTGTGGGCAGATGGCAGCCGGACTGGCCTGAGGGCTGTTGCTGGTGCAAAGCAAAGAGCTCAGAGGTTCTACCCTTGGCAGAAAAATAATTGCTTCTTATCATCCCATCTTCCTTCACTAAAAGCCTGAGAAATGACATGCGATCAGTTGTTAAAAAGTACTCATCGCCATAATAACCATGAGATACTGTCCTACCTTGTCCTCCTGGTGGCTGAGGGATGGTTAACACTTTTATTTTTTTTTATTTTTTATTTTTTTATTGCTTAAAGCATTACAAAGGGTATTACATATGTAAGGTTAACACTTTTAAAGGATTGTGCAGTTGCTCCTAAAATACATACCCTGTACCTGAGCTTTAAGATGACTTCTGAGTTGCTTAGTTGTTGTAAATCACCCATGCCATTATTTCCATGCATTCTCTGTCCTTTCACAGGCCTCATGTGTGTTTATTTCCCCACTCTGTTTCAGGACTCATCGTCGGGGTGATCCTGAGGTACGGCACCCCTGCCACCAGTGGCCATGACAAGTCCCTCAGCTGCACTCAGGAAGACAGGGCCTTCAGCACATTATTAGTCAATGTCAGTGGGAAGTTCTTTGAATACACCCTGAAAGGAGAAATCAGCCCCGGCAAGCTCAACAGTGTAGAGCAGAATGACATGCTGAGGAAGGTGAGCTGGGGACACTCAGTGGTTATTGTCTAATGTGGTTTTTGACTTCCAGTTTTGTCTTGATCTTATGAAGAGAAACCCTTTTAAACTCCTGGAGCATAGGTGGCATTCCTGCCTCTCCATTTTCCTGGGAAGCTTTGGGGTTATAATGAAGAGAAGAAAGAACCATATTTGAACTTGAGCCTTACAGCTTTGCGAGGTTCAGTGGCTGACTTGGGACACTGATGGTGCGGTGGGTTTGTACATCCCCATTCAGCTGGTCTCTCCAATCCCCATCTTTTCTTTACTATGTCTTTTATTATGGTTTAGGGATGAGGTTGTTTCTTTCTTAAGATTGGTTTCACTTTCAGCTTGTTTATTCAGAATTCAGAAGTATAATTCTTAGTTCTTCATGATTCTTTGGCCATATTCTATAAATATTGATTGAGAATTCCCTCTCATTGGTGATTGATGCCAATGGCTTATTCTTCAGAGGAAGGATATTTCTTAGAATTTGAATCCAAACATTGGTTTTCATTTGATGTTGGGGCTAGCTAAAATATTCCACAGGAAAAAGGATTCTGTATCTCCTTACTTGGGTGATTTCCAGCACATGCAAAAGATGTGTATTTATCCTCATATATTCTAGTACCTTATAGACCTGGGCTTATCAGCAGGAAGGCTTCTGGATAAAGTCTGGGGGATACAACTCGTGGGAGCTCCTTGTAATATGGAATAAGGCTAATGTGTGTGAAGGCTTGCAGTCAAACACAGAGTATAGCCTGTGCTCCAAAAATTAAATTGTTATTGATCTCAAGATCTACCCTAATCCTTAAAGAAAATTATTCTCAACCTGGAGCATTCAATATGCCCATCTTCTCCTTGTCCCAAATGGCAGTTCTAATGTGCTCTTTTCTTTCAGCCCTTCATAAGCCTGCATGGGATGGTGTGGGAGTCAAGAAACTCTTGTGCTGCTTCATGCATTACTGGGTGTGATGACTTCCCCGCTTTTCAGACTACTCTTACCTTTAGCGAGAAGATAGACTAAAACATAATTTTGAGAGAACCATTCTCTTTGTAATTAGACTGGTTAACATTTCCCGTTTCTAAAGAGAAATGCTAACTTTGGTTTTAATAATTATAATGAAGATTTAACAATTAATTGAAATAAGAGCCAAATGATCTACTAAAATGAACAATTTTTTTAAAGAGTTAGGAAGTTTATAGAATGGTTATGTTTTCTGGATGTGATAAGACTTTGATGTCTAATAATTTCACAGTGATTTCCCTGTAACAAACCTACAGGTAATGTTAGTCCCCTTAGAACTGCTGAATTTATGTTGATGTTTAGGAAACCATTAGCATCACTGGAGACTGATCTAGGCTACATCATGTGTCACAGAAGGCTGGCCACTCAAAAGAGACTTAAATTTGGTAGCATTATGTCTATAAATGATTCTGTGAGAGGGTCCAGAAAATTAATAAGAATGATGACTGCATCTTTTATTGCAGTTGAGCCTTCATAAAGGTTTGCTAAAAATCAAGATGTTTTCTTTCTTGTTTAAAAACATTGACCAAAAGCTTTGTATGAGGTCTCAAAATTGCACTGTACTATCGTATAGTAATATGTATTAAACAGCAGAGCAAGAGTAGAACTCAGAAGTGCTATGTGGACAAGAACACGTCAGCCCACAGGGCAGCTGTGGCTTCTCTTCTGTGATGAGCTTTTTCACATTTATGTCACGTGCTTTAAATATTCACACTTTAGCCAGTGGCTTAAAATATTAAGCAAACATCATAGCACCAATTGGTATTAAAGTAAAAATGAGCTTTTTTCCTTTTAAACTTTTAGGTAACGTTTGACCCAGAGGTCTTTTTCAACATTCTGCTGCCTCCAATTATTTTCCATGCTGGATACAGTTTGAAGAAGGTAAGAGATTTTTGCCAGTATTTCTTTTTTTTTCAAGCTTAAAAATAGTCATAAATTATCCACAGATAACAACATAATGACATTCTTGGGGCAAATGATCATAAAAACAAAAGCTTTGCATAGTTGAAAAATGAAATATATCATACTGTAAACACATTCCAAACTATTGCTCATAATAGTACACGTGTGTGTGGTATATAAGGTAATGCCACAAAGTGGTCTGGTGTCCCTGTACCAATTACTTCATGGAAACTATGGAAAGAATTCCCACGACAAACAGATTTCTTGCTGGTTGACCTTTTAATAATGTTATTGCTTGGTTTAAAGTTTTAGTTTCTCTTGATAGGTAGAAAGGCCTTAAATTATGTAAGGAGTATGATTTTTTGCCAGTATTTCTTAAAGTATGGGGATCTCTGTGTTAATTTACCTGCATAATTTTCTAGTTTTTTACTTCTCCCAGATTGCTTATTACTGTGTTCCGTGCCCACTCAGGGACTATAGTTGACTCATCATCAGTGATTCATTTTTGTTTTAAAATCTGGAACTGTCATACATTGCCAGTGGGAATGGAAAATGGCAGAGCCATTCTGAAAAAGAGTTCCTCAGTTTCTTATAAAACTAAAGTTGAAATTCCCATAGGACCCAGCAGTTTTATTCCTGAGGATTTATCCCAGAGAAATGAAAACTTATGTTCACACAAAAACCTGTATGTGATTATTCATAGCAACTTTATTTGTAATAGCCTCAAACTGGAAAAATGTCCTACAATAAGTGGATGGTTAAATGAACATCCATACCATGGGATACTACTTACCAATAAAATGCAGCAAACTATTGATATATACAGCACTCTGTATGGATCTCAAAGGCATTATGCTGAGTGAAAAAAAATCCAATCACGAAAGGTCACATACTGTATGATATCATTTCTGTAGCATTCTAGAAATAACAAAATTATAGGGATGGAGAACAGATTAGTGGTTTCCAGGGATTAGGGATGTGGCAGTGAGAGGGGATGTGTGTGACTATGAAGGGAGAGCATGAGGGAGCTTTTTCTGATGATACAACAGTTCTGTGTTTTGATGGCAGTGGTGCTTACATGAATCGACCCATGCAATAAAATGACTAGTTTAAGAGGCAAACCTCATGTGCCCATAATTTATACAGGCAGCACCCTCATTTGGTCACTGTGGTATGTCAAGTCTTTGAAGGCTTCTCTTCTGAGCAGTGGTTTAAGGACAGTAGACATACCTTGACACCTTCTTCTGCCTCAAAGAGAGGCAAGCATTGGGGAAGACCAAAGCTAAATCCTCAGATCCTCTGTCTGGAACACAGGCCAGAGGATGCCTGCAGCCTTTTGTGTGGCCATACTTCATGGTGGATTCTCGATCCAGGCTGAGTTCTTGTGTCTTGTTTGTCTCTGATGTTGCTCGGCTGTCATGCCAGTACTCTCCTGCCTCTTTAAATTTTAAGATAAAGTGTTCCTGGCCCCTGTTTAATTAGGGTGTTTGGAGGGATTTTGTTCATCTGTTTTTGTTAAATAGTTCTGATTGTCCAATGAAAATAATTTATGCCTTGAAGAGTAAGAGCCATGGCTCAGGATCGCAAGAACATGGATTTTCCCCATCAGAATATTCCACAGGCTTAATGAGAAGTAAATGTGTGTGTGTGTGTGTGTGTGCGCGCGCGCTTTAAGGAAGCCAATAAATGTAGAGGCATTAAGAGAATTACAGTTTTGCCACCCCTTTCTGAATAATTGCTATATCTTGTACTTATGTAAGTATATGAACATATCTATCAACTTGCCCATCCTTTTAAAAAAAATCCTCACCCGAGGATATTTTTTGAAGGGAGGGAGAGATACAGAGAGAGAAACATTGATATGAGAGAGCACATCCATCGGTTACCTCCTGCACATGCCCTGACCGGGGCCTGGGATGGAACCTCTAACTGAGGTACATGCTCTTGACCAAAACCGAGGTTGTGACCCTTCAGTCCGTGGGCTGACTCTCTAACCACTGAGAAAACTGGCTAGAGCAAAAACTTGCCCATCTTAACTGGAATTAATTGTTTCTCATTTCTTCACATCTATCTTTCCCAGGCTCTAAAGATTAATCCAGATAAATATCAGGAGACACCACAAATGCCATGAGCTGATTCTTAGGACATTCTGTTTTCTGATACTGAATCAAGCAGAAAGCTCCTTAGGTGGCACTTTCATGCTTTATTAGTTTCAAACTTATATCTGTAATGATCTTCTAAGGTTCTGCCAGAACTGGAAGTGACTAACTGAATCACTAGAGTAAAATGGTTTGGGTTAAATTTATTAAAACAGTTGGTCTGCTTATACACATGCACGTGTGCATGCACATGCGCGCACACAGACACACACACTTAATGTAATTTAATATAACTAGTTGCAGTGGTTTTGTCTGAAATTTACTAAGACTTTGCTTGCTTGATCAGTGATTGGTAAGACAAAGGATATTTTAAAACCATGATGTTCAAGGGCAAATTCAGGAGTAATTTTCATTATGACTTGATATAACGGAAGCAGTAAGTAAAGTTTCACTTTTTAGAGATTTTTAATGTGTTTCTAATGCTTACTGTCAAAAATCACAATGTGATTCCTGCTTTTCTGTTTTATTCAGAGACACTTTTTCAGAAATCTTGGGTCTATTCTGGCCTATGCCTTTTTGGGGACTGCTGTTTCCTGCTTCATTATCGGGTAAGGGACTCTTTGCCATGTAACCTAATTAACACATTTTCTGAAGAGATGAGTTCTACGTGGGTCCACAGAGTCCAGTCTTTCCCCCCAGCTTCATTGAGATATAATTGACACATAACATTGCGATGTGTTTAAGATGTACAAGGTGTTGATTTTATATATTTATAAATTGCAGAATGATTACCAGCAAAGCATTAGCTAACACCTCCATCCTGTCACAGCTACCTTTTTTGTGGTGAGAACATTTGAGACCTACTCTCTTATCAACATTCAAGTATATGTTACAGTGTTATGATCTATAATCACCATGCTGTACATTAGATCCCCACACTTGTTCACCTTATTACTGGAAGTTTGTACCCTTGAGCAACATCTCCCCATTTCCCCACCACCCAGCCGCTGGCAATCACCAGAGTCGAGTATTTTGACATTTATGATAATGGCATGTAAGGTCTAAAGCCACATTTGCAGTGTGGTAGCTATTAGCCAAATGCGGCTATTAAAATTAAGATTCATTAAAATGAAATAAGATTATACCTAGTCTCCAGATCTTGGTTTCTAATATCATTCTTCAATAAAAAGAATCAGGGCCCTTTGCAGAAATGGCTGATTCTAGGGCTGGGGCAGCAAATATACAAGAGAAGGATGGAGAATCTTATAATGCCGCAAAATAAGGAAGTGCGCAGAAAACAAACATTGGTGATGATGGGAGGCAAGAGGGAGGAAAAGCTGCAGAGAAGTCTAGTGACCATGTCTAAGCTTGCGGTAGAAGGAAATAAAGAGAAAGGTGTGGTTTCAGGAAATATTGAAAGGGTTGATGAAAGAAGCCTTTAGTAAGCAACAAAGGGCAAATCCAGTCTGTATCAGAGTTACTATAAGTTGAAATAGAACTGTTCAAGTTTCTGGAACAGTCCTGGCACACGGTAAGCAAACACTAAGTTATACTTACTTATTCTCAAAAGGATTAAATTCTGCAAATAGTCCTTGAGCTCCTAGCTTAGTCAGTCTACTTGTTCTAGGCACCCAGGATACAAAGACAAGCAAGGGCATGGTTCCGACTATCAAGAATTTTATTATCAGAGGATTGGCTTTATGGCACAATGAGCCTATTCTGTGGTTATTTTTATTCCTGTCGCCATTACACACACACACACACACACACACACACACACAGAGAGAGAGAGAGAGAGAGAGAGAGAGAGAGAGAGAGAGAGAGAGAACTAGGCCTTTTAACACTCCTCAATCATCCTAATTTGTAAGCTGTCCTGTAGGAAATGTAATGCTGAACTTGGTGGTCCCTTTTGGGTCACACATTCTGTAGCATAAGGAGGGCTCCTGCTGGCCTGCCAAACCCATGCAACGAATGGAATGCCAGATATGCCAATGGGTACACTGATATTTTAATTGGATATTTAGAGAGTTGTGCCTCTTTTCCCATCTTTGAAATAATTCTTGGCAGAAAAGATTGATCACTTGAATCTTTGTAGCTAACCCATTTTTTTCCTCTCCAGCTTCATCCAGTCCACTCATTTCCATGACTGTAAACATACTATCTTAGAATCCTGTGAGTTTTATGGCAATTTATTACACATTATGCAGGGTTCTTTCTCTTTCTTTCTTCTCTATTACTCAATTGCTTAAGATGCCTTTGTTGCTAATTGAGGAGCATACTTTATAGTTGTAAATAAGCACAACTTTAACAAATGGGATGTTCAAATGTTTCAGCAAGATGACATTAACTGCAAATAATTACTTGGTGCCAAAGTCGTATTGCACATGTTCCTGGTAAGTGTCCAACCACAGCAGCTGCCTGATGTTTTCATGACTCTTGAAGTACAATATTCTAGTACTACTCTGCTTGCATATTTGCTCGGTTACTCATTTAGGAGAGTTCTCTTTAATTTTCTCTCTGACATAGTTTGTCTTCCCTCCTTACAGAAATCTCATGTATGGTGTAGTGAAGCTCATGAAGATGGTGGGACAGCTTTCGGATAAATTTTACTACACGGATTGTCTCTTTTTTGGAGCAATTATCTCTGCCACTGACCCAGGTATTTGCATATTTGGCATTTTCATTATAACTTTTCGTTAATTAAATCTTAAAAAGTTAAGAGTAATCATGAACTTTTGTTGCAGTAGGGAGACTGTAGTATTAACATGGAATGGTGGAGGAAGAGACCACTCAGTGGTCTAACAGAGATGACTTTTCCCTATTGTTCTTATTACAATTAATTGCGATAAAACACAGAACAAAATATACCATTTTAACTATTTTTTAAGTGTACAATTCAGTAGTGTTAAATGTATTCACATTGTTGTCTAACCAACCTCCAGAACTTTCTCATCTTGTAAAACTGAAACTTAAAACTTCCCATTAAACAACTTCCCATTTTCTCCTCCCCCAGTCCCTGGCAAACCACCATTCCACTTTCTGTTTCTGTGAGTTGCACTACTCTAAGTACCTCATATACGTGGAATCATACAGTATTTGTCTGTTTGTGACTGGCTTATTTCACTTCGCATAACATCTTCAAGGTTCATCCATGTTATTGCATGTACCAGAATTTCCTTCCTTTTAAAGCCCAAATAATATTCCATTATATGGATTTTGTTTAGCTGTCCATCTGCCAATGGACACTTGGGTTGCTTTCACCTGTATTACCTTTTTGTCTTTCATTTGAGAATGTCCAATTTGTTCATAATTTTTATACATAGACTATCTTCTTTTTCAGTGCTGTGCTTTTGCCTTTCAGGAAACGTATCATTTGGTTTAAATAACAGTTATTCTTCGTGAAATGTACATGATACCTGTAGTGAATGTAATTTAATTTGTAAACTCCTTTCGTGCAATGTTCCTGCATGACTTCACATTGTGATGTAGTTCTTATACATAAATTTCTTACCTTGTATTTTTCAAGTCTAGAATTAGTTAAACCAATTCTTAAGAGTTATACCAAGTTCTTATTATATGTCTTTCCTCCCCTGCAGCTCAAAAACAAACAAGCAAAATAAAACAAGACAACCTCTCTTCTCCAAGTCGGAACCCATAATTAAATCAGTTTGCATAAAATAGTTACAGCTATTCCTTCCTTTAATGTCAACTATTGAGGGTACACTTTAGGGAAAGAATTTACGGAGAAAAAGCTGATCCTGTCCTAATAGTGGGGATGGAAAGGTCTACGATGTCCTCTAACATTCTGGACAGAAAATTCCCCTCCTACTTCACCGTACCTCTTGGGGGTTCTCTAGATCCGTGCTATCCATGGACCTTTGTGTGATGGTAGAAATGTTCTGTAACCTTCCCAGTCCATTGTGGTAGCCAGTAGTCACATGTGGCTTTTTTGAAATGTGATAGTGCAACTGAAGAACTGAATTTTAAATTTTATTTTGTAATTTAAATTTAAGTAGCCACACATGGATAGCACAGCTCTAGACAGTTATGTGGTTCTGAAAAATCTCAATGTTCCCCAAACCCTTGACCCTCTTATCACCATATTTTATTCCCAACACTCTACCAGTAAGTATCTATATTGAAGAGTTGGTTGGTTGAAGCACCCTTGTTTGTGTAAAGAATGTGGGATGTGGAGTTGTAGGCAGAGGTTTTCAATGAAGCCCTGCCAGTCACTGAGCTGGTGGCCTATCAGTGTCATGTTTCCTCATTTATGAAGTAGGAATAATGGTACCTATTTTCTAGTGCTATTGTGAAGATTAAATGACATAACACATGTAAAGCATTGAGCATAGCACCTGCTAATTATATTGGTCTTTAGCCACATCTGAATCAGGCAGAGATTTCTCTGTTTTCCTCGTGTGCTTTTAAAAAAATAAATAACAGGTCATCTCTTAACCCCAGCACGTTTCTAAAGAGCACTCTGAAAGTGGCTTTATTATTTTAATACTGTAATGTCTGTGACTATCTCCAAACGTGTCTATTAAGAAATAGTTTCCTGCTTAGCTGATATGGCTCAGTGGTTGAGCGTCGACCTATAAACCAGGAGGTCACGGTTTGATTCTCAGTCAGGGAACATGCCCAGGTTGCAGGCTTGATCCCCACTGTGGGGTGTGCAGGAGGCAGCTGATCTATGATTTGCTCTCATCATTGATGTTTTCTATCTCTCTCTCCCTCTCCCTTCCTCTCTGAAATCAATAAAAATATTTTTTAAAATGAAATAGATTCGTCATAAGTCTAGGAAAGGTCTTTGTTTCTCTGAAAATATATTAGTATCACCAACAAGCAAAGGGAGGTTAGTGTAACATAAAGATTACTGAAATTATGTTTTCTGAGCTATTAGTGTTGCTTCATTTAATTGGATAAAAAGGCTTATTTTTCTAGATTATCTTTGTAATTGCTTGTGCCACTTTACTGTGTCCATCCTGTGGTGGAAAATAATAGCAGACATTTCCATGGTACACCTTTTTTATTTTGTTTGTTTGTTTGTTTGCCTGTGAAGATTGGCACAGTAAGGGTTTGATATAAATTGAAAGTTCTAGGAAATGGAAAGTTAAATCTTTTTTTTATTTTTTATTTTTCGCTAAAAGTATTACAAAGGGTATTACATAAGTGTCCTTTTTCCCCCCCCACCCTTGACAAGCCCCTGCCCTCCCTTACCCCCCAGTGTCTTATGTCCATAATAAACATGAGGACATTAACTTTAACTGCTTTTTAATGGAAATCTTTTTGAAATGTAGAATGTCTTTTTAAAATTAAAGGTGTTTTACCAGCTTCCCAAAAATTGGTTTGAAAACTGGGACCAGCAAATAAAAACTAAAGTATAGAGTTAGAGGGGACCATAAGACCAAATTGACTTCTTGTGTCTGGTACATCAAACAAAACTTCTGGCATTGGGATATGTAGTGGTATTGACTGATATGAAAGAATAAAAGTCTTTGTCTCTGATTACTCTACTTGGCTTGAGACACCAGTCTTTGGTCTTCCTGTTGAAGAGGATGCCACATATGTGGAATGGTGGAAGCTTCTCTGTGAGTAGGAGCCCTCTCCATTCTGTGGTTACGTGTCATGGGTGCCATGTGCCATCTTTGTGGTCTGTTACTTTAGATGGATCCACAGTTCAGGAAAGAAAATGAAATTTCCAATCCATAGCGTCTTCTTAGGCAGCTACCAAAGAAAATGAATGCTATTCCTTCTTATGAACCATTATGAAGTGACTCCTCTCATTTTAATTTTGTCACTTTTATACCCCTCGAGTCAATCAAGCCTACTCACAGGTTTCAAAATCTATGATTGGTGTAAAAGTGTAATTCTCTACTGGCATCCCTCAGGCTGGTCAGTATTTCTTTTTGAAAAATCAGACAGAGGCCGAAAACCAGGACTACAGGCTTTATTAGAGGAGAAGGACCTGCCGGGCTGTCTCGCAAGGGGAGGATAGCAGCACATGCAGGGGTGAGCACGCCTTTTGAGGGGCGGAATGGGAAGGGGTGGGGGCTTAGTGTACTCGGCGCACACTGACTGGTGGCTTACTGCATTGTCCATATAGGACAAGGGCTTAGGGTATTTGGCAGGCGTGGATTGGTGGTCCAATGTATAGTCCATATAAGGTACCTGGTTAGTCACTCAGGTATTTCTGGGCTGCAGGTTACGTCATACTCCGCCCACCAGTTGGGGGAAGGGAGGATCTATCACTTTTTAAATATATATATATTTTATTGATTTCAGAGAGGAAGGAAGAGGGAGAGAGAGATAGAAACATCAATGATGAGAGAAAGTCATTGGTTGGCTGCCTCCTGCACGCCCCCAACTGGGTATCGAGCCCGCAACCTGGGCATGTGCCCTTGACCAGAATTGAACCTGGGACCCTTCAGTCCACAGGCTGACACTCTATCTGCTGAGCCAAACCAGCCAGGGCTGGTCAGTATTTCTTTTATCCTTTTTGACTCAGTTCAAATCTGCCACCTGCCTAGTTCTTCTTCTCTCATTCTTTCAGTTACTTGCTCCCATAGCTCTTAAGTCGTCTACTTTGTACACAATTCTTACCTCTTTGTACTGAATGTTCGCAAGTGCTAAGTGCTCTTTAGTACACAGATGAAGTGTTCAGGGAAAGTTAGTTGAATGAACAAATTAAGGCTCTTGATATTTCCTTCTTCCCCTATCTGCTATTTTATTATCCCCCCCCCCCCCGTGCTTTTTAGATAGCTGTACCAGCAGTCATCAGTCAGTTCATTGTAATTTCTCTGTTCTTATCCAGTTGGAAACAGCTGATGTAACCCTGTTATCTGATTCCAATGGTCCTGCTGGGGGTGGAAGAGTCTGTTTACTCCCCATTTTAGAAGTCACTTACCCAGTCTTCCATCCCCTCCCCCCAGTCATCTTCCTGGTGTTAGCACTCATATTCCTAATCTTGGTTGGGCTCAGCCTTGCCCAGGGGTGGGGGGAATGGGCAGAGTTCTTGTTCTGTTTTTTTCTTTTAAAAATATGTTTTTATTGATTTTAGAGAGAGAGGAAGGGAGAGGGATAGAGAGAGAGAAACATCCATGATGAGAGAGAATCATTGATCGGCTGCCTCCTGCACGCTACCTACTGGGGATCGAGCCTGCAACCCAGGCATGTGTCCTGACAGAGAATGGATCCTGTGACCTCTTGGTTCATGTGTCTACACACAACTGCTGACCCACACCGGCCAGGCTCTGTCCTGTTTTATAAGGTGATTGGCGGGAGGAATGAGAAATCAAAATTCAGAGCAGTCAGATTCAGATCAGTGCTATATAAATGTTAATTGTTTTAATTATGCAAGCTAGCCTTCCTTGTCATGGATATATGAGTTAACTGTACTTTTTTAAACTACTGGTAACTGTAGTATTTCAGGAAAATAGTAAAGTCAGAAGAGCTTTTGAAAATCACGTAGCTCAAACCCTCACTTGGCTAAAATCTTTAGACTTTGCTGTGTGCTGAGTTCTCATAGCTAGTGGGTGGCTGTGTTGGATGCCTCTGTGAGCCCCTCTAGAGTTACTCGCCATCCTTCTCCGCTTTCTTCTCCTTGCCAAGGGGCTGACTTGTATGGAAGAGTTCAGAGGTTCCTTTGCCCTCTTGTTTCCCATTGGATTCATCCACAGGGCAGCACTAGTGTGAAGATGGAAGGAAGGTGGAAATTCAGGGTCCCTGAGGCCTGGCTGCGTCCCTTGATCAAAGGTCATAGCTCCTGTCAGGTGACCATCTCTGTAGAGTTCCTGGTTCTGACAATCATTCCTTCTCTGGCCCCTTCCGGCCTAGGGGTGGTATAAAGCTCCCTGTTTTAGCCTCAAGTACTGCCCTCTCCCTTGTGGCTTTCCTGTACTTTCCCCACACTTCTATAAATAATCCCTTATTAAACACTCCTCAAATTGCTCAATTTGAGGGTGTGCCATCTGTTTCCTGCCAGGACCCTGACTCATAAAGTCCTGGGACCCACATCTCCTGGGCTGTCAGCCCTGTGTTCTGTTTGTGGAGATTAGCCTCCATGTCTTGAGTCCCTGAGTGACTGATGTGAACAGAGGCCTCCGGTGCCAGCACTCAGTGGACATGTTGTATGAGTAATGGATAAAACTATTCTTGGGTTCAACTGCTGAGGTTTTAGGAAATTTTAAAAAATATGTGTTTTTAATTGATTGCGGAGAGGAAGGGAGAGGGAGAGAGAGAAACATCCATGATGAGAGAAAATCATTGATTGGCTGCCCCCTGAATGATCCTTACTGGGGATTGAGCCCACAACCCAGGCATGTGTCCTGACCAGGAATTGAACCGTGACCTTCCTGGTTCATGGGTCAATGCTCAACCACTGAGCCACACTGGCCAAGCTTAGGAATTTTGATATTGCAGTAGAAGGTGGCCCATTATACAAGGCCTGATTTATTTTCTCTAAGTTGGGAGAAATGATAGTGCTACCCACAGGCTTTTATGAGGACTAAGTGAGATTGTAAAATGTTTAGCATAGTGCCTGCTTCATGGTAAATCCTTAATAATTGTTATCGTTGTTAACTTTTCTTTGACATTGGGTTAAAAACAAGACAATTCTTTTGTCATATACAGTTGGCCCTTGAACAACACAGGTTTGAACTGCATGGGTCCACTTACATGCGTGGTTTTTTCAATAAATACTTGTACTATTTTCAATCCACAGTTGGGAGTCTGCAGATGTGGAAGGCACTGATCTACTCCCTCTCATATAGGGGATTTGAACATCTTCGGATTTGGATATCCACAGGGGATTTGGGACCAATTCCCCGTGGATACTGAGGGACAACTAAGTTTTGAGGGAGACAAAAATTATATGGATTTTCGACTGTGCAAGGGGGTCAGCACCCCAACTCCCACATTGTTTAAGGGTCAACGGTAATGATAAGCTAGTAGAGTTTTGTATTAGTTGGGGTTCTTCAGGCAAACAGAGCAAATAGGAGATGTATGTGGTGTGTGTGTGTGTGTATGTGTGTGTGTGTGTGTGTGTGTGTAAGAGAGAGAGAGAGCGAGAAAAAGATTGAAATTGAGAAATTATAAGGAATTGGCTCATGCAATTATGGAGGCTGAGAAGTCCCGAGATCAGCAGTCCTAAATCCTAAGAACCAGGAAAGCCAATGCTATAGTTCCAGTCCAAGTCCAAAGGTGGGAGGAGACTGACATCCCAGCTGAAAGACAGCTAGGCAGAGAGAAGATTGAGTTCTCCATTACTGTCTTTTTGTTCTAGTCAAGCCTTTAACAGACTGGATGTGTCTCACCCACGTTACACAGCTACCTGACAGAGTAGCCTCATGAATTCACAACTACCCATTGGTGGGGTAAAACCAGCAGCAGCAGTGAGACTTAGAGCTAGAAGCAGCAGATGTGCTGAGGAAGCAGAGGGGAAAAGAGGGGGCTGCTGGTCATTTTAACTGTCAGGGAACCCAGAAATTTCCCACAAGTATTCACACTCAAAATGAGAGGTCCCCACTGGGAGTAAACAACTTCATAGGCATGTTAGATAACAACAGTAAAACTGGGAGGGACTTTATGGGCTTCAGTTGGTGGGTGTGGGCAGGCAAGGAGACTAGAGGAGGTGTGAGACTTCTGGAGAGACCTGAGCCCCCAGGGCTCTCAGAAAATACCCAGGGAAGATCTATCTGGAAGCCACTCCCTATACATGAACTGCTAGGACCATGGACCTCGATTGATGGGGCTTTGAAGAAAAAAGAAAGCTAAGAAAGTGGAGGAGGAGAGCAGATTAAGTAGATCTGAGTGCTGGGGATGTGGCTACACCCAAAGGCCATGTTTTTAATACTTCAATGTAAAACCAGAAGAGGGAGCCCGAGAGCCATCAAACAAGGAAATCTACTCTGGGCCTCCTACCTCTGACTTAATATGAGGAACAGAAATGGATTGAGGTTGAACTTCTTGCAAACATTATAATCAGAAAAATGAAGGTAATCATTCTGAATAATCAAGTTACAGAAAGTGGAGTCATACCAGAAAACTAGGGTCCCAAGGCAGACAAAATGTTATTAATATTTCAACAGAACCTAAAGGAAATTTTAAAAAATGATAGAAGTTATGAAAGAACTGTGTATATCATTATTAGAAAATTTAAAAGTGAGAGGACTAAACAATAGGACATATGAAAAGAGAGTCAGACAAAAGCAATGGAGGGGGGACCCGTGAAGTGAAAGAGATGTTAAAAAGTACATATTTTAAAAAATAAATTTTAAAGTGGGCAAAACCAAACAATAGTGTCAGGGAATATACATTGGGTGGCCAAACTATAAGGAAATGAAAGGAAGCAATTACTATAAAATCAGGTTAATGGTTGTTACTTTTGAGTGAAGGAAGAGTTTGAGATTGGGATGGAGCATACGGGGTTCTGTGGAGCTGGCTAAGTTCCATTTCTGGAACTGGATGATGGTTACATGGGTGGTTTGGCTTATAATTCACTAAGCTACACATTTGTTTGGTTTATTTTTCTAATTGTATCAGTTTGTGATGCTTTTGGCTGCAAATAACAGAAAAACCTGGCAATACCAGCTTAAACAAATAGCTGTTTATCTTGGCTAACAGTCCTGAGCTGGTGCCCAGGCTCCTACTACAATCAGGCATCCAGATGCTCAGTGCACAGTGCTACTCTGTCTTGTGGGTAGAGACCAGGGATGCTGCTAACTGCCCTACAATGCACAAGGCAGCCCCCCACAACAAAGAATTTTCTAGTCCCAAATGTCAACGGAACCAAAGTTGAGAAAGTCCAAACCCCTTTCAGGGGGTCCATAAGGTCAACACTGATTTAATAATCATAGTAATACGTTTGTAGTCATTTTAACTTTCATTCTTTAACAAGTTACAGTGAATTGGGTTTTTCCTGAGGCTGTATTAACGTGTGATATTGACTATCTTTTGATCAAATGCAGAAACAGAGATAAGAACCATCTGTCTTACATTAATCAAGATTTTAAAAGGTGTGAAAAAATATGAAACAATGGCTCTCTTCTCACTATTTTTCTTGTTTGGAAAATATAATTGCTTTCTATTAAAATATGTAATCACATAATAGGTTTATTAGTAATTTTAAATGAATACATATTTATTTTTTCTGCTTTACTCAATGCGGTATATATTGGTAGCTTATAAAACTAAAGCTCTTTTGGGGCCTCAATGATTTTTCAGAGTGTAAAGGTGTCCCGAAGCCAAAAGTTTGAGAACTGCTGGTCTGGAGACTAGCTGATTTTTAAACACTTAAGAAATATGGAGACTGTGAGAAGTGTAATTACATATAGTCTGTCCTAAACAAAGACTTATTTTAAAAACCGTTATTAAAGCCTTCTCTTGCTCCCTAACCCTCTGCTGGGCTCTGGGAGCACAGTGGTCAATAAAATAACGTTTCTGCCCAATGGTAGAGCCGAATCGTATTCATTGTGATTATGCACTTTTTAAAAATATATTTTTATTGATTTCAGAGAGGAAGGGAAAGGGAGAGAGAGAAACATCAATGACGAGAGAGAATCATAGATCTTCTGCCTCCTGCATGACCCCCTACTGGGGATCGAGCCTGTAACCCGAGCATGTGCCCTGACCGGGAATTGATCCCTGACCTCCTGGTTCATAGGTCAACGCTCAACCACTGAGCCACGCTGGCCGGGCAGTTGTGATTATGTATTTTAAAGTTCTGTAATAGAGGTTGTTTCAAAGTGTGACGGGCTTCCAGTGGAAAGGGCAGTGTTTCAGTGCAGTGTTATTATAATCCAGCATCATCTCACCACTCATCCTGATTAGGACGATTGCCATCCTCACTTCTGCCATAGACAGGCAACGTGCCGTTGACTCCAAACTGCCCTGTCCCACTGAACTTAAGAATTGCTTCTATAAATTTGTCATCGATGGCTTAAGGTTAGAAACAGAAACTAACCGATGTGCTTTTGCTCACTTTTTAGTCACTGTACTGGCGATATTTAATGAGTTACATGCAGACGTGGACCTCTATGCACTTCTGTTTGGAGAAAGCGTCCTAAATGATGCTGTTGCCATTGTGCTGTCCTCGTAAGTAACACTATGTCTGCCCGGGGAAGAGAGACTGGCTTCCTGAATGCTCAGAGGCCCGTCTGAAAAGGGTTAAATTATTGAATTGGGTGTTTTTCTAAATGAGGTTTCTCAGCTTGATGGATAATGTTACACTGCTTTGTCCAGTCGTCAGCAATCAGAATGTTGTACCAGCGTAGCATGGTGACTGCAGATTAAGTTCAATGAAGACACCCTAGGGCAGCGGTTCTCAACCTGTGGGTCGTGACCCCTTTGGCGGTCGAACGACCCTTTCACAGGGGTTGCCTAAGACCATCCTGCATATCAGATATTTACATGACGATTCATCACAGTAGCAACATGACAGTTATGAAGTAGCAACGAAAATAATTTTATGGTTGGGGGTCACCACAACATGAGGAACTGTATTTAAAGGGCCAGAAGGTTGAGAACCACTGCCATAGGGAGTGCCTGGTGGATTGTAC